TTAACTACTTTGCACTATCTGTTAGTATTCCTTGCATTGTAATGCCAGCGAAACAATTATGTACAAATAAAGAGAGACTCAGGATTTACAGGATCACTTCTCCACCAAGTATTTCATTAGCATGATATATGGACTCTTGCGCTTAATCCCCGACGTCCTTCTGAAGATCTTGCGGGACCTTTTCTCTTTCCATAGCCTGTTGGTCTTTCTGGGTTTCAGTTTCGACATCCTGAGTGCCTTTTCTTTGTTGTCTTCCGCGAAAAGAAGCTTGCTATTTGTTTTCTTCCGCGAAAAGAAGCTTGCTGTTTGTTGAGATATCAGGTATTCGTCTACTTTAAGAATTGAATAAAGGCTGATAGTTTCGAAAGAAACTGTTTGGGGCTGCGTCGATGGGAGTAACGAAATAAAAATTGGCTCGCTACTTGGGAGTCTTGCCTTTCGCATAGATTTCGATACAGATTCAGGATCCACCTTGTGACCACTTTGATTACCAGCGTTATAAATGTCAAGCAAGTAGTCTTTCTGTATTTTGGATAGTCGCTTGCAATGTTTGGAACTTTTACGGGCCCATCCCATTTTTATTGAGGGTTCACCTCATTCAAGGTTACCAGCTTTATCAGAGACATAGGGACATTGGTCCATGCACCCTCTATAAGTTGAGCTGCATATTTTAACATAGCATTGTCATGAAGGGTTTCACGCTCTAGAACATATTGGTGTTTACCGCAGTCGAGGTGGTTCTGGAGGGATGAAAGTCTTTGGTACGACTTAAGAGGAAATGTGGCCAAAAATGGAACATTTTCAAAATATGGCGGCAACAGGCGAAAAATCGATTCGGCTCATATTCTCAAGTTAGGTAGGCCTAATGGTGAAACAAAGCACTGCATACTTCGTTTGGCTGAATATCGATTTATTTTCGAGAAAATCGATAATAGCTGAATTTCGACCAAATGCCGCTTTTGAAGCTCAAAGTTTCAGACGAATCTAGTATCGCAGAGGTCAGTGGTTCGAATCCCGTACAGGCCTTTTTTTTTTATTCAGGTTTGATTTTCGCTATTGCATAAATAGCGTTCTCTACTGCGAGGATCGTGCATCATACGTATCTAATACCGCGGTTCAAAATATATGAACTTCATTTATTCATTGTATCTGATTCCGCTTACATTTGGTTCATGGTTCGGTTGTAGACTTATATTTAAACAAAGATCTCTTACGCGAAGTATTTCAACGAAATGGGAATACAGAAACCCCGAGATACGCTTCGTAAACAGTCATTATCAGGATGTGTTGACTATCCTGCCAAGTTCTATTGCTATTGAGGGAGCAATGCAACAATTTTAGGACTGCAATCCCTTTTTTGTGATACAGCAATATGGACGGTAAGATGATATTGCGTTAAATAAGCTGTAGATTGGATATAAAATGCGAAACAATTGAGTTTGTGTGTGAATGTGAACATTTTCGAACAACTGACGGCATCGTCAAATCAGCTCATTTTATCCAACTTTAAAATTTGATTAACTCGCACTGAATCATTTCCCCMAAAAAATCCTTCAGAGATCGAAAAGAACCACACTTCGCCTTCCAAAAGCTAGATTTTTAGTCGATTATTTTGTATAGCACATAGTTAAATAACGGGTTAATTTTGACCTATTTTAATTTTGCTAGAAGAAGGTCGGTTAAATATAGTTAGATAGTGTAAATAAACGATCAAGAATTGCTCAAATTGCTGTGAACATATGTATTGATGTTGTTTTTCAAGATTTGGTAGTTTTTATCTGTCTCAGTGTTTTCAATTCGTAGCGGGACGCTCCAAGATTTATCTGAAATTTTGAGCTTCAAAAGCGGCATTTGGTCGAAATTCAGTTATTATCGATTTTCTCGAAAATAAATCGACATTTAGCCAAACGAGGTATGCAGTGCTTTGTTTCACCGTAAGGCCTATCTAACTTGAGAATATGATCCGAATCGATTTTTTGGCTGTTGCCACCAAATGTTTGACCGTTGGTAACATTCGCTCTTAATACAGCCTTCTTCTATACAAAAGAACAAGCTCTGCTCCTCTGAGACGGAATCTGTTTTATCTGGTGTGTCAGTTATCTGATCACTAGGTGACTTGTTTTTAGCTGAAACTCTTCGTCTTACGGTAACGTCGGTGAATGATACTTTAGAACAGTGTGTGGGTGTGGCTTTGTTAAGCATGGGAAACTGGTGATAAGTAGGAAAGTCAAGGTCACTCCAAGGTAATCATTTTCCAGGTTTAATGTTGTACGCTCTCCAAACTCGAACACCCTCTCTACTAAATGTGAAATTATCAAGGAAACTAGTTTTGCACACGGTGGTAAGTAACCTACTTACCGGAGCCAGGTTGTATGAATTTTCCAGATACCTTGAGTATTATCCATGAAACACGCTTGCCAATTCCCCTATCGCCTTTTGGAATCGACGTAACCCTGCCTTCACCATGGCCGGACACTTCCTTTGACACTCTTCATCTACTATTGAAACCACGACTCCACCCAACACCGAGTTTTGATCTATGAGTGGGGCAAATTGTGAAATCATCGATATCTCTCGGCGTCTTGAAGATGCCGGCTCGCGACAAAATCAGGTCAACTTAATTTTCTGGATCTAAAAACTTGTAACTCCGCAAGTCGCTTGAAATGCCCTTTTTTACAACTACGCAAGGGAACGACTTGAGATTTACAACTTCGGTCTTCTCGATAACTAAACCCACAAGTTCCACCAGCGAACGATTTATTAAATGAACAGCAAATCTCCATGTTAGCATGAAAGATGAGACGCTCATAAAACAGATAACACACTAAATTAGTATGTAGCTTGTCAATCAAATTGACTTTTGTAAACATTCTCTGACTTATGCCGGCAAAGGAGTCATTGATGAATCTGGACATTTTAGTTTTCTGAATACAGAAACTCCCGGAAGGTTTTTGTAGATATCATGCAAAGAGGAAAAAAATTAATCTCTTGGTATTTCGGAGGTTGATCCATCTTTGAATGTATGTCACGCTTGTCATGCAACTGATAAAATAAGATGAAGAAGATATATAAACTGGAACTCAGCTCTGGCTAGGATGTGGTAGAGCGTGACGTGATCATCGAAACAGCTATTAAAATCCTAAATAACCATGGTAAGAGTGTTATGTTAGATTTTTTTCGCAAACTGTGCTGATTTATGCCAGTAAACGGTGGCGACAAGTAGGCATCATGTATATTTCATAGTCGCTAGCGAGTAAATTTTGCCCGAGATCGAGTTCGTCTCGCGTTAGAACAACAAAATACACAAGGAAATTTTTACAGCAACTTTATAACCGTCCTTTTGTATTTTAGAAGCTAGAAGCTCAGTAGATTCTGTTATATCGGTCATTATTAAAAACTGTCTTTGTCTTGATGCTACTTTTCGACATAGAAAAAGTATGTCGGACAAAAATATTCATCAAAAAATAAATATTTCTTTGCCAGCTTCAATAATAACAGGGGATTGAGTTTAGATGATAAAACAAAGTATTATGTTGTCAGAAATACCGGAGGTCAAGTATATTCGTTACACGAGGTCACGCACCTTGAGTAACATTCACGATGAAAATTTGCATATTTGAGCGGTCGAACTATAAAAAATCATTCCTCGAAAACTAAAATATATTTTCACAAAAAAATTACACCACAATTATTAGGGCATATTGGGCTACAAAATATGAAAGTAGGAGTGAAAGCAAATTTTGGGTGACTAAAGTTTGGTTATGCTAACTAAAGCAACACCACTTTTATTAGCTTGCTCTTCAGTTCTTAGAAGTACAACGTACAATCTCTTAAACATGTTATCGATTGTTAATTCAGCCTGTGTCTAGTTCGCACGAATTTAAATAATCTATCACAAGCCAAATCTGGAATCATCGCCCAATGAAGTGATTTTACACATTGGGACTAATGATCTTAAAATCAGGGAACCAAAGGCTGTTGCGGAATCGATTGTGGATCTCGCGAGACAGATCGAGGGCACCTGCGATGCTACAGTTACGCTATCGGAGCCTGTATGCAGAAAAGATAAGCTGGACCAGGCAGTGAAAACAGCCAACAAGCATCTAAAGAAGTTCTGCCATCAAAACGGATGGAAATAATCCATCATGAGAACATATCTCATAGTGGACTCAACAAAGGTGGACTGCACTTAAATTTTAAAGGTAATGAGCAGTTTTATAATAATTTTAAATCGCACCTGGAATGAGATAACGTGCTGTCCGTCAATGCCGTGCGGGATCAATTAAGCAACCAAAAGGCCAAAAAATCTGTCTCAATATTGCCTCCTTTGCGCGGTTTTAGAATGGCATCACTCAATATTAATCAATTAACTACTCATATAGACGAATTAAGGATCATATTAGCAAAAAATGATATCGATATTGTTTCCATAAATGAAACGAAACTGAACGAGAGTATTCGAGATCATGAAGTTCATATTCCGGGGTACGAAATAGTTCGACGCGATATACTAACAAAATGCGGCGGAGGGGTATGCTTCTATGTAAAAACTTCAATCAACTTTACAGTACGAAATGACCTACAAGTGGATACACTAGAAAATCTTTGCTTGGAAATCCATAAGCCAAATTCAAAATCTTTTGTGATTGTTACTTGGTACAGACCACCTGACTCTCCTATTGGCATTTTTTCACCTTTTGAATCCCTAATTGGGAAATTGGATAGTGAAAATGTAGAATTTTTTGTACTGGGAGACATGAACTGTGACATGATCACTACTCGATATGACAAT